GTCATGTCCACTTGGTGGTATATGGGGAAACTGAGGCTCAACGAGAAAAGTCACGAGAACAAGGGGTAGAACAGACAAGTAGAAAGAAGGGGCTCCAGACTCCTCACCTAGCTGTGGCCTGAAGGGGCCGGCCCACCTGTGGGCTCACTCCCCCTCCCTTGCCCCCCTACTTGGGGACACCCCTGTGGGGGGATTTAGACACCTGCATCAGCCTCTGTCTGTGGTCTGGCCTCCCCCGGGTCTGAGGCTTCAGGGCGAGGCTCTCCAGCAGAGAAGGGCCCCTCCTGCCGAGGCCGGCAGGGCCAGGAGAGGAGCTCAGCCTTGGAGAGGAGCCCAAGAAGCAACCGGAGGCTGGTTTCTGTGACGGCAGACAGGGACAAACAGCAGGTGTGCACGGGCCACCCGCCACCCCCGCCTTGCTCCAGTGAGTGACAAACAGGAAGTACCAGTCACCCCAGACACCCTGAAAGTAAAAACAAGCCATGCGATGCCCCATAGGGGGGAGAGGGCACAGGCTTCCTCCCAGCACCCACAGCTTCTGGTTCTGACCTCACTTCCTGCCATGCCCCCAAGGCACTGACCCCCCTTCAAGGCACTGACCCCCCTCAAGGCTCCACCTCTTCCCTTCTCATCCTGGCCCCTCTTCTGTCCAGGTGACCCAGGCACTCCACTCAGACCCCGAGACACTCACATTCAAGGCACTGCACCTCCCCTCCCCCAGCTTTATTTAAGAGACTCCCAAGAAGTGGCAGAAACAGTACAGAGAGGTCCCCCAATGATGACGTCTCATAACCCAGTGCATTACCAAAACCAGGAACCAAGACACACACGACTATTAACCAGGCTCCAGGCTTGGTTGGATTTCACTAGTTTTTGATGTGTCCTGGTGTGTAAGCCTGACACCTGTCACACATGCAGATTGTCCATCCCTGAGACGATCACAATGCAGGGCTCTTCCATGCTCACGAGGGACTCCCTGCACAGTTACACCCCCCCTTCTCAGGGCCTCAGGCCCTGATGGCTTTGTAACAGTCTGGCTACCCTGCTGGACAGTGAGCACCTGTGACAGAGGCTGTCTTTCTTCTTCAGAGTATCCCAGGTACAGGGCCTGGCATACAGCAGACACTCAATAAACTCTCCATGGTGAACGACTCCAGGAACAGCCCTGTATGTGCTGCCCAGGCCCGTGCGCTCCGCCTCTTCCCTCTCATCCCTGCCCCTCTTCTGTCCAGGTGACCTAGGTACTCCACTCAGACCCCGAGACACTCACATTCATGGCCTGGTGCCAGCGAGGGCAGCAGGTCTCAATGTGGGCAGCAGGGACCTTCACACAGAGATGCTAGGGTCGCTGACACTACAGCCAAGTGGTCTGTGCAATGCTGGGAGAAGATCCCATGCACTGTCAGTCCAAGGAGGTCTGGGTTTGTCCAAGCGCTGGCCAGAGGGGGGTGATAGGCCTCACTGAAAGAATCACAGCATTGGAGCCCCCAACTCAGGCCCCCACACCCATGCTGCGAGAGCCCAGGCAAGTTTCTCCTCACTGGTGCCTGCACAGGCGGCTGCTGTGTGACTCGCCACTGACAAATCCCAGATCTTTCAATGGGCCTGGCGCCGTCTGACCAGTGCTGCACACAGGTGCTCAATCAGCCCTCGGGTCAGCCCTGGGAGGCATCCCCACCCCCGGGGTGGGGAGAGGAGCCCAGAGAGAAGGGGCTGGGCCTGGTCCAGGGTCCTTTCTCCAATACCCAGTGCACCTGACATCCAGCAGCCCCAGAACTCAGTCTTGTTATTTGGGCCCCCAGGGCCTGGCCCCACACCTGGCACAAAGGAGGGCTCACGGTAAACAGGTGTGGAGCCCACAGGATGTCCCTCTTAAAAATGGGTGGGTAGGCAGTGCCGAGAGAAGCAACTGGCCCTTCAAAAATAACCCGAGGAGGGGCTCCAAGTGCAGCCAGGCCGAGGCCCAGCCTCAGATTCTGGCAGGCCTTGGTCCCAGGCGTGAAAAAACACCCACTGACACCAGGAGGCCCCCTCCAGGCCAGATTCAACGCTCTGCCTGGACACGTGCTCTCTCCAAACTGCTCTGACCTTCATTCCTGCGGGCAGCCTGCTAACTGTCCCACCAGCCAGCAAAGGGACGCTCTCATCCCTTGATTAAGCCACTTGTCATCTGCCAAGGAAATCTTCTCCGAACCCCAGGCCTCAGTCCCATATGTGGTTACATGATGGGAATGCACGGTCGGCCAAAAGTCAGGATCTGAAAGATCCCACCAACTTAAGGAATACTAGGTGGAAGGGAATCCAAGCAAAAAGCATTGAGTGCAAAATTCTTTGACGAATCTTTCCACACTGACATTTATGACCCAGCCAGGCAAGGAATCTGCAGAGGCCCTGCCCAAAAGTGGGGCTATAGGACCTTAGAGCTGTCTGGCCTATGATGGGGACCAGAAAGTCCAGGAAAGACCAGCCAGGCAGGAGAGGAGTTAACCAGTTTACCAACTGACCTGCCCAGCTCCGGCTCCCACAGTGCCCTCAGCCAACAACAGGCCTGGCCTCGTTGCCAGCCTGGAGCTGACAAAACTGACCGCTGAGTCAGGCTGGACTGCACTCCTAAGCCCGATTGTTTGCAAAGACAAAAGGGACGCTGACGGCCCAACTCTCTGGTGGGCAGGCTGGTGCTGGGAGGACAGCTGACCCAGGCAGCCTGGCCGCCGCCTCTCCCGGGCAGTGCACCCAAGGGCCTCACCAAAACCTGGACCTCAGCAAGGCCTGGTGGGAGGGAGGCAGCCAGACTCTGAGACGCTTCAGTCCACAGGCTGCGGACAGTCCCTCTAATCCCTTGTCCCTGTTTGGGTCTCCACCCCTTGGCAACCAACAAATAGCTGGAGGCCTCTTCCCCATCATGGGTATTAAATCGCCAGCCAGGAGATTTAGTTACAAAACATGGTCGCCTGAGGTGGGGAATGCACAGCAGTAAAACCTGTGACCAACCTCCAACTACCTTCACAGAGGCAACGCCCTAGAGACCCCGAGGGGTGAGGCTGGGGCATCCCTCTCCACACCCTCCCAGAAAGCAGCAGTTGAGAGCGTGGGTTCTGGAGCCAGCCCGCCTGGGTTCAAATCCTGTCACTCCAGCTGCCCTGGACAGGTTGTTAACCTTTCTTTAACCTTTCTCTGCCTCAGTTTCCCCCTCTAGAAGTGAGAATATATCAATCCCAACCTCAGGGGGCAGTTGTGAGGACAGGAGAGATGTGGCAGGAGCAGGGGTACCCAGCCCCACGCACCAGCACTGTGTCAGATGAGGAAACTGGAGGCTCAAGAAGAGGAAGCCACTTGACAAGATGAACCCAGCAGGTAAGTAACAGAATCAGGATTTGAACCCAGGTCTGCAGGCTCCAGAGGCCAAGCGCTGACAGTTACTAGAGTCCCAGAAGCAGCTGCAATGGATTAGAACAGAGCACAGACTCCGGTGGAGAAAGTATTGTTGCATTTTAAGCAGGAAAGAGCTGCATGTGCTCGGGGCTCACGCCCTGATCCTTGTGCAGCTGGCCCTGCCCCTGGGGCACCAGGTGTGGACCTCAGGCACACAGCCAGGGGTATGAAAATGAGGAACGCCCTCCTCGTGTGGCCTGAACCTCAAAGAGGAAGAGCCTGGGGTGATGGCAGGAAGACTGGAGTGTCCCCAAGCCTCTTCCAAGACAGCTGCAGACATTTATGAAGCAGAACCCCAGCAAGAAGGAAACCCAGAACCACCTGCTCCCAGCCACGCTCCAGGCTCCCCTCCAGGAGGGCTGACTGGAGCTGAGCTCACACACGAGCAATCCACACCGAAGCCACTGTGCAAGCACCCCCGATCGTGGGCATGTGGCTGACCTGCCCAGCCCACTGGAGCCTTATCCCTGCTCTGGTCCTTGGTCCACACTGCCCCAGTGAGCCTGGATGCTTCTTAAACTGTGCCTTTCTCCAGGGCAGGGGCACATGAGTATACCCACCCACACACATATACACACCTTGAATCCAGAGCCCAGGACTGGTCTTTAATAGCGTAAGAAGTGCTAATGTTCTAAAAAAGGCTGCCTGTTTTATAACTGTCCTCCTCACCCCCCACAAGAAACAACCTCCCAACCCCCAACAGCAAGCTCCCTGCACTGGGGCGCACAGCCTACATCAATCACAGGGCTGGGAAGTCAGACCGCATGGCAGGCTCCTTTGTGCCCCTGAAGTGTGCATGTCCTTCCCCAAGCAGCTGCCAGGCCTTATTAGATGTTCTTTTTAAAAAAAGGCAAGGGGAGGGGGGCCTTTTTTGGATGGAGGAGGGTGGGACACGCTGCGCCAAAGCACATCAGACAAAAGGCCCATAGGCCAGCCCACTCAGGCCAGAGACATCTGGCCCCGATCCTGGTTCACCTGCTCCAGCTTTCACAAACGTCAGACCCCGGCTGGCAGTGACCTGCTGCCACCATCTGTTGGGCACTGGAGCAGGTCAGAGGGGCTCCCTGAGAAGAACCCAGCTCACCAGTTCCTAAGAATGTTGGCAACACTTTCAGAGTACTCACCTATCCGAGCCACACCCGTCCTAAGGCCTACTAGACCCACAGAAATCGTCCTAAGGCTGTTACTGTCCCCACTTTGCAGGTGAGGAAACAGAGGCAGAGATGCTTGTGACAGCTGCTGGAGGTCACACAGCTAGCAAGGGGGAAGCCAAAATTTGAACCCAGAGCCCATGCTCCCCATCTCTCTGGGGTGTGGCCTCTGCAAGGGGTGGAGAAACCCAATCTGCCTTCCCTCAGTTCTCCCAGCTTGTCCCCATCCCCTCCCACCCTTAAAAACAGAATCATGTTTCTGAAAAGTTGGAGGTGACTGATGGTTCTCCGGACACAGAAAGGTGGCTACTAATGGCACAACCAAGGCAGTGGGGATGGCGGTCCTGGGGTGAAATGTGCACCCACACTGGGAGACCCAGGAAGCCCCCCCCATCCCCGGCCAGCCACTCCACTCACCCATATGTCCGCTGGATCAAGGTGGGGTGCAGCTGCTGTACACCGATGGCAAAGCCTACAAGGAGAGACAATTAGGGGCCGGGCCTCACTGGGGAAGTAGAGCTACCCAGACACACAAGTCTAACCAAAAGGGATAATCTGCTTCCTCCCCCCTCCCAGGCCACCCCCATGTAAACCCCAAAACTCCCAGCAGAGCAGGCAAGGGACCTTGGGGGCAGTAGCCTCTAGGCTTTTGTGTCTGGGAGGCCAACTTCCTCCCTCCCGTGAGGACAGCTGACAACTAGGTGACGCACTCTCCTCAGCCTGTCCCACCGGCACACGCAGCTAGACCAGCTAGAGGAAGGGGTCCAGCTCCCAAGCTAGGGGATGACTGCCCTGTGATGGCTCTGCAAGCACATGACAGCCAATTGCCACTCCTGGGGTGGGGGTGGGGGTGGGGGGGAGTTCCACTAGATACCAATGCTGAATATAGCAGACAAGAAGAGCCAGGGAAGGGAAACAGCCTCTCACCGGAATGGAGGCTCCTCGGCTTCGCGCCCAGATAGGCCAGGTTCACGTTGGCCTTGCGGCCATCGATGTTGGGGTTAGGGTCTTTGCAAGCCCTCTCAGCTGCTGCTCGGTCGGCCATAGTCACCTGCAGAAGCAGACGCGTCAGAGGCTTCCCTTGTAGGGTGCAGGGCTGTGCCCTGGCCCCAGGTGCTCTACTCCCCACCCCCTCTGACCCCAGTCTGGGGCCCTACCACAAAGCTGCCCCCTGGATTCCAGCTCCTCCCTCCAAGTTCAAGTGCAGGGAAGCTTTGCCTTCAAGGATAGAAACAATTTCCAGGTGAGAGGGGGCACCCCCTTAGAGAGGCAGGGGCCTGTGAATTTCCTCAAGCGAGGGGTTTCGGGACACTGTAATTACAACGAAAGAGGCTGTTTTCAAGCCGTTTTGCTTAAGTTGATATTTATTTGTGGCAGCAAAACAGACTGTTGGAAAAATGTGGGGGGAGGGGCGCTAAAGGGCCCCAAAGCGCCTGGGTTGAAGGCTCCGCTCCTCGCTAGCTAGTTGCTCCAAAAAGTCCTGAGAATAGTCGTCGGACCCCCAAACCTCTCCACGAACTTACAAGTTCTAGCTGAACACAGCGGCTCTCCCTTTTAAACGCGGGTGGGGGCAGGCAGACCAGGCCGTGGTTCTGCCCCACAGAGGGGGCGGAACCGGCTGGAGCGTGAGCCACCGCCCCGGAGCCCAAGACCCGGCAGCAGGTGCCGG